TAAAGAAATTTTGGTTGGATGGAAGGGGAACTCAGACCAAGATTTAGAAAAATCGAAACGTTACAACACAGTACTTCCCCCAGAGACGGTGCCACTGAAGACAATTTAATTCCAAGTAGCAGGAGAAATAACTTAACTTCAGTCTTCTACCGCACGAAGAATAGACTTCTGCCTATAGTGTAAGTATAGTTTTAGTTATTCAGCTGACTCAATATTCAAGACGCATTTCAGTGAAATTCAGAATGCAACTTTTGACAGCTAACCCAGTCAATGGAAGTGACGTGATCAGAGGTGGAAAAATGGGTGGGAAAGGTTATTTGGCTCGATACCACACTTCACGCAAATGCTTCATGGTGTAAAACTTGAACTAAACTGTATAGAATGTACTTCCAGGCTAAAGCGACCTCGTAAAGCCGTCTTAATCAGTACTGTATAAAATTGTTCTGAACAGTATGGATTTCTTAAAGCGCAGTGTAAGCGTGAAATTCTCCAAGAAGACACCACTAAGATATTCATCCTCTTCCGACGATGGACTGTGAATGGGTTCCGGGTTCGTTCAGCCAACGGTAGGAAAAATTCCAGGGAAATCAACCGCTTACTTAATTGTCTTGCGACAATTCAACGTGAAGAACATTTAACCCTGAAAATCACAATCAAGCAAAATCAAGACTGCCAGTTGCCTTCTAGTCGCTCATCTCCTGAATAGTTTGCTGTGTGCATACGAGCAAAATATGTGGGTTGGCAAATTTATCAGTTATTGCAACGAGTGACAAGGATTCCCTCTTCTCTTATCCGTTCTTCATTCGACAATTTCAAGTCTAATCCATAACACTTTGGAAGGTTTCATCACTCAATTTCTATCTTAACTGTGCGGAAAAATTTCACGAAAATTACTGCGCAGAGAGTAGCCACCAACCAAAGAGGCAGCAGTTCCATAAACAGACGTATTGCAGCCGGTCTCAATGGAAATCTGCAGGTGTTTTTTATTTTGTGGACAAACTCTATAGCTGCTGGCAAACTAAATTCAGCTGAAACATCTTTAACATTAGATAGAACAGAGAAGTTGGTTTATTGGCTGTAACCCTCCACAGTTTCACGGACTTAATCGTATTTCGACCCAACTCCTCTCCATTCTGCGCTGAGTGAAACACATTCATTACATCTTTAAAAACAACAAATGTACATTTCCCTGTTTCGTACAAAAGCACGGTGGTGCAGAATTGAATTAGGTGAATCGAACATCCATCCGTCTCGAAATCTATAATCACTGCAGAAAATGCGGAACTTATTCGACTGATTGCTAGGAATTTTGCTGGCACATTGCTGTCACACAATATCTTGGTTATTCTACTCTTCAATTGGCAACCTGAAACAGAACATCAGCGATACGGAAAAATGATATTCGCCATCATGAAAGGGGGCTGAATATTCCTAAGATGGTGATATTTTTGCTTATTTCTGGAAGCGTACACCTTGGAAACAGAGGTTCATTCAATGCTTGACGACATTCGGAACACAGAAGGACCAAATACCGTCCATCCAGAAGTTTCTTTCTTGATGAGCTAGCTCCCATTCATTCAGATATCTGTGGGCTTCTGAATTTGTTTTCGAATAATCCAAAGCCCGGACAAATTTTGTTGAACAGGTGAGACTGGAGCCCCACTAAATTAAGGGACACTAACACAGTATATGTTGACACTTTTACAATTGCAAGGGTGTACCGTGATTCAGCGGCACAGCAGATTGAAAAAAATATACGGAGTGAACTTCTTGAAGTGTGTTTGGGGATAACTTCAGGCGTTCTGCTCTCGATAAGTCTGGTGGTTTTTATGTTTTATCGCATCGCCATAAACAAAACAAGAAGTGTAATTCCCTGGAGGATTTTTACACTAAGATGATGTGGGTGGGTTTTTCTGAAATTTGGGCTGCCGTGTTTTCGCATAATTTAAGCACACTACTGGCGATCAAGTAGAGACAAGAGTAGGCAACAAGGCGATTGAAGGACAACGGCGCTTTGTCCAAGTGTGAGACATTTGAACGGCCGCTTGTTGTCAAAAGGTTAAATATTCGACTACTAACCGGAAGGTTACTGGTTCGACGCCCCTCCCACCAGAAACCCGTGAGATGTGCTCTGTTGACTAGTCACAACAAGAATGGAGCAGCCATATAGCGCTTTCCAGGCTTTCAGCACAGACTGCCTTCTTCCAGGATAAAATATACAGAAACAAAGCCAACTAAACAGTGGAAGCTGAAAGTAAGCGCCAAGAAAAAAAAAGAAAGCTTTGACAATCTCGGGTAGTCCTATTTGACTGATTATTGTCATCAGAATAAATGCTGAGCAGGCTGTGAAAGCACAAGTGAAACCTTCCCATAGTATGGAGCTAGAAGCAGCGGCCGAAGCTTGCTCTTCAAAATCTTCCATAAATATATTTGCCAAAACTGGGGAGTGAAGCACCGGCAGTGAAGCATCGGTGTTGAACACTGATGTCATGCTGTCGATGATGATGATGATGATTACTAGACCCTGTTCTTGAGAGCAAACCACAAGGTCCAAAAACTAAGTGAGTAAGGTTCAGGCTTGCTTTAATCTACTCTTCAATTTACCCTTCCATTGAACCAGAGTTCATATCTGAAACCTCGAAATTCACTGAATTTTCCACCATAATCATGCTGATCTCCCGAGTATCCAATATTTTTCATCCGGCTCCTTTTCTGCAGGTACTGTGGGAAGAGTAATGGGTGTGGACTACCGGACAATTTCCAGCTACCTCGTGAGTAGTGTGTTCTGTCAAGAAAGCATACTTATCTATCGTACCAAAGGAAACATGAGACGTCCCTCGCGCAAGACAGTCAGTCAAAACATCATACTAGATAGATTGAGCTGACATTCTTTTGAATTGCTCTTAAGCTTACTTGAAAGTGTGCCATGTCAATTTTATGGGTGTTGTGTTATGTCAAGGAAAATTGTCACAAAACTACATGAGCTGGTGCAAATGAGTCAACTGATTAGTCTATCTTGATTGCCATATTTCGAGCGCTGAAGGTGACTTTCTAGAATGCAGTGAAAATGATTTTCATCCTTCGTTTTGTTCTTTTATTTGACAAAATTTGGAGTTGATACCCTGGGCTTACGAAGTCTGAAAAGCATTTGTGTCGAAAAATGACTATTCTGTACAAATAAGAGCAACTTTTCATTGTGATAACTGTTTTTGGGACTGATAACAATAAAAACGATGCTACCTTTAGATCACTCACTATTTAGTTGTTAGAAGCACTAACAGTTCACTGGGGGTTCTTCCTTTCTTAAGGCACTTTAAGTAGACGTTTCCCTACGTGACCAACAAATTGTGTTTTATTGGAATGAGCTATCAGAGTGTTTTCACCAACTTCATATGAATGGTGTCGGGCCAGGAAAAACATTTCCATATCTTGAAAATAATTCCAAATAAAACAAGGGACGGCCTTTGCGCAACACATTCAGTTGATGGTTAGTAAAAACCAGAGATTCAGCTGGTATACAGTTGGGTCATCTCAGCGACATCGCGACTTCCAGGCTAATAGCAGAAGTCTGATCATTTCAGTCTCGAATGCCCGATCAGCGCTGCGGTTAACTGGCGCTCAGACGTCATACAGCACCAATCGTCCTTTGATCACTTGACTCCCTACGATTGAGCACGTGTTGAGTGGTTGATTTAGTGGCAAATACTTACATGGATGGATCACTCGACGTGTGAGCTATCCTTCCGCCTGAACAACTTATAATTTATTGTTAGAACAAGCAGCTTTATTCGAACAGGATCCAAAAAGGAGAAGAGAGCAATAGATGGGATAACCCAGCGGAAAGCAGGAGTGAATTTTCGTGAGATTTTAGCCGTCTTATTCAACCGAAACGAAGTGAACTGTATTTCCACCCAACGTAGACGATATTCTCCATGTGTCCATGCCTGGATTCGAGTGTGACCAGAATCTGAAAACGTTTTCGCGACCTTCAAGAAGGACCTTTATTTTTATTAGTAGCATTTGTATCATTATTATTAGTACACTATAGTAATCGCCACTCACTCTCTCACTCTAACTGCATTTTAAGATTCTGACATGACACTCGTGAAACAGCGACTGAAAGACCAACCCACTACACGTTTCGTCCTGACCCATCAGATAGTTGGGGCAGAATTGATTGTCAGACTTTCCGGATTTCGAAGTTATCAGAAATCGGGCGAAGTATTGGAAACATATTTAATTACTCACTATTTTTCGGATTCCTAACGAACTTCAACACACTTAGTGAACTATCAAACTAATACATAGACCTACACCGGTAGCGAAACGAGAGTGGTGACTGCTTGGTGGTAGAATTGAGAGTGTGAACTTCAAACTGCGAGAACGTTCGACAGTCGAGCCTACCTACACCGAAATCTGTAGTGGGTGATTTGATATTAGACACTGCTCACAAAGTTTCTGAGGGCCCATCAGTAGCCCATAATCGGTTTTGTCCTTCTTGAGACTTATCAGATAGCGGCCATCCCCAAATTTCCAATAACCTTACGTTTTCATTGAACATTAAACTTTAAGCAAATGAAACGTTTTTTCAGTCTTATGGCTGTTGTATTATATTACTAAAATATACAACAATATCCTGGAAAACAAGACGGCCTTTGTGCAGCATAATCAGTTGAAGGATGACATAAATAAGGGATACATTTGAGTCACTCGTTAACATGAAACTGACACATAAATGAGTGTCTATTTGTTTAGCTTAATGTTTATTGTTTGTCTGTTTATTTATTTATTTAGTCAGCTAGACAGGTAGCTGGCAACCAACCTCGGTCAATTAGTAGGTTTTTCAGTCGGTGAAACAGAGAGTTATTTGTTTGTTTAACGAGATATAAGTGTATGATGAGTGCAGAGGCAAGCAGATAGATAAATTGACTCGTTAAATAACCGACTGACTGATAAGCTGACTGATTAGTTGATTGACTGATCGATGGATTGATGGATGGATGGATGGATGGATGGATGGATGGATGGATGGATGGATGGATGGATGGATGGATGGATGGATGGATGGATGGATGGATGGATGGATGGATGGATGGATGGATGGATGGATGGATGGATGGATGGATGGATGGATGGATGGATGGATGGATGGATGGATGGATGGATGGATGGATGGATGGATGGATGGATGGATGGATGGATGGATGGATGGATGGATGGATGGATGGATGGATGGATGGATGGATGGATGGATGGATGGATGGATGGATGGATGGATGGATGGATGGATGGATGGATGGATGGATGGATGGATGGATGGATGGATGGATGGATGGATGGATGGATGGATGGATGGATGGATGGATGGATGGATGGATGGATGGATGGATGGATGGATGGATGGATGGATGGATGGATGGATGGATGGATGGATGGATGGATGGATGGATGGATGGATGGATGGATGGATGGATGGATGGATGGATGGATGGATGGATGGATGGATGGATGGATGGATGGATGGATGGATGGATGGATGGATGGATGGATGGATGGATGGATGGATGGATGGATGGATGGATGGATGGATGGATGGATGGATGGATGGATGGATGGATGGATGGATGGATGGATGGATGGATGGATGGATGGATGGATGGATGGATGGATGGATGGATGGATGGATGGATGGATGGATGGATGGATGGATGGATGGATGGATGGATGGATGGATGGATGGATGGATGGATGGATGGATGGATGGATGGATGGATGGATGGATGGATGGATGGATGGATGGATGGATGGATGGATGGATGGATGGATGGATGGATGGATGGATGGATGGATGGATGGATGGATGGATGGATGGATGGATGGATGGATGGATGGATGGATGGATGGATGGATGGATGGATGGATGGATGGATGGATGGATGGATGGATGGATGGATGGATGGATGGATGGATGGATGGATGGATGGATGGATGGATGGATGGATGGATGGATGGATGGATGGATGGATGGATGGATGGATAGGTAGGTAGATAGATAGATAGATAGATAGATAGTCTTCCACATGAATACTGCTTTCATACTCCTTTGGTTATCATAAATCAGTGACTTACTATTATCGATGAAATACCATTTGTCTGGAAAATATGTTTTAAATGCTAATCATGTTCCTGTTTCAAGCACGGAAACACGGAATTGCTGAATCTGGTAAAGTGAACAAAAGGTACACCAAATCACTTGGTTTAGCAGGTCAATAGCAGTTCGTCATTTTCTAATCACGTAGTGACCGATTTGGCGCCACGCACAACCTGTGATTAGGATTTGCCATCTTCAGGCTTATCAGTGTGGACAAACGGTCAAATTAATTATCTTGGTGGCTGGTCCAAACAGACAAGCCAACCCACCAGCGGCCGAACTCATAAAAGCCACTCAGAGACATCGGGTAATGCGTTCCGATTGCATCTCGTTTAGGGCGTTCAGTGTGATAATCAAAGCTCGGAACGACGAAAGATCGTTGAGAATCTTCAGCGCACTTAAAAGTGAATCACTGTTGTTACAACTGCGATGACGGTCATCACCTCTGTCCAGTAGGCAGTTGAAAACAGACTTGTGTCAAACCCTGATAGAGATTATGGACTGAACTTTTGCCTTTCTCCTTTTTGCCTCAGGAGCTATCCTATTCCGCGTTCTGTTCCTTTCGTTTTGCTTAATCCCTGTGTTTTCCTTTCCGGTAGAGTCAACCGACCCTATCTTTTTGTCCTCATCCTTATGATGTGTCACTGTCTCTATAGCCTCTATTTAGGTAGTTGAATAGTACTTATTATAAGCCACATATCCCAGGAAGTTGACTGCCCAAAAAACAATTTTCAGGTTTGTGCGTTTCACAGCACATCCATAAAAAAATACTGTAAACCTGTCTTCAGCTAGTCAAATAAAATTATATTGATAGAAATGTGAGGCGATATGGTAATTTTCAGTTGGGATATTGTCCTCTCATTAGGACAGAAAAGCCTAGAAGCCTGTGTAGCCTTTCCAGCTTTGCCTGGAATCGTCAGCGGTGCGCATCTCACGAAATGTGTTTAGAAAACTTGCTGCGTTCTTTGGTAAAATAGATCAAAAAAATGGAATATCTGGAGCCATGTTATAAATTCCAATGATTGATACCATTGTCGAATCTAAAGCAGTGATGGGCTCTCATTGTCTTCATCAACCGGTAACTTGTGTCCGTTTTTTAGCAAAAATTCCATGATGAGGTTGCACATTCTTCTTACTGAATGTTCACAATGACAATAGTTTACTTGCTCTGCCTCGCAAGCTTGTGAGTGGAGAAATGTTCTGATTATTGAGGGTAGAGTGGCAGCTCACATGCAGGTGAGTCTACTTCATCTCAAATCTGAGTTGTCAAGAGATACTTTCACGATCTGCCGAAAGGGCTGGAAACAGCTGAGCTTGAAAACCATGTGTATATAAAATCGCGCCAGGGAACGATTCTTTTACTGACCACTGAGCTTCTTTCCATCTTAACCTTTGCAGATATACAGCCGGTTCAAGGAGAAGAATATACAACACGGAGTCTGAATTACCTTTTAGTCAGGTAGATAGAGTCTCCTTGTGTGTGCGTAAAACCTCAGCCAGCCGCAGTGTTTGCTAGGGCTCTATGACAAGCTCAGCCAGACCACGTGTGAGGAAAGAGATAATTACGCATATTTATCGAAACCTCAGCAAACCCTAGTACCTGTTGAGACGGACAGCCCCTAATGTCAAACAGGAGCGAAGTAGTTACAAGGAGACTGACACATTGATAAATCGGTTCTCACTAATGTCCGGAGAGTTGATGCGTTTATGCTATCCAAACGTGTGACACTGAGAGAGATGCCAGTAAACTGAGACGTGAATTTAAACGTCACGGTTGCTCAAATACGAATGCTGCTTTCCTAGGCATATCAGATGATGTTACTCACAACTCGCATTAGCAGTGTGTACCCACTGCGTTGTTGGTTGATCAGATGGTAGTTGATTGGATAGCGTTGGTTGGATGTCTGTTTTCGAAATGAAAGAAAAAGCATACAGACCACAAAGCAGCGCAAAGCATGATTGGGCCAATAATACTACAGGTGAGGTATACATCACTTAGTCAGTTACATGACCGGATATTAGATACTCTTCAAAAACTACATTAACGAGGCTAGGCACGGAGGAAGCACCCAATCAACTACGCACTGACAATGCCTTCTCCACTGGGGACGAAATATTTGCAAACCAGTTGCGAACCTCGGCGAAAAGATCAACTACCATCTGATCAACCAAAAGTAAACACACCCGATCTACCTATATTTCGACAAATCAACCCACCGCGTCCTCTTACAAAGATACACCTTCATACTGTGAAGGTTTGGAATACAGGAAAATGTGTGATGACAACAACTGTGACCATTCCTGCCTCCAATGACAGTGCATTAGTGCGCTTTACTCGACATATGTGTGCACGTTCAGAATATTCTGAAACAAAAGTGTTGGTGAATATGGCACATAAAAGCCGTTGTACAACGAATGCTCCTTCTTCGGAGCTCCAGAAATCAGCGAATATTCTATGGTATCTTTGTCCCATAGAGTGCTTAGAGAAGCTAGTTAGAGCTTACTGATTAATCCTGGGTATTTGCGTATATGTAGGAGAGTAATCTTCGTTTCGGAGTATCCTTTATTGTGAAGCTTCAGTGTGTTTTCAGAATTTGATAAGACTCCCGGTGACATTTTTGCGTATATCGTTTACCCCCCTGGAGCGAATCGATTTTAAAGACACGTAAAACATTACGAATTAGGTCGATTTTTTTGCTATTTCCTACTTTTTGTGCCAGAGGTTGAGAACTACCAATAAGACGGTCAGAAATGGAAGCAACTTGTCAACGGTCAACTTGCGATCTTTTTCTGTTATGACCCGGACGAACCCGGAACGACGGTTGCATTAGAGGTGTGCTTAAAATTGAAGGAAGAATACCCTGGCACTTGCGGGTTCTTTAAGCAACCACATTGTCGAATTAGAGGGGTAGTCGTTGGAAAGAGGGATTTCTGGACAGGGGGAGTAACAGGAGTGAAGATGAGGAGATCCATCTAAGTTCGCTTCACCAAAATCCAAATTGGCCAGAATAATAGCTAGTGAACACCGGAGGTACGAATGTAAACGACAGTGTTAGAAATCAGCTTTTTGCGTCAAAGCTCTCCAAAGATGAGAAAGGAGCAAGTTCCGATGTAGTTCTTCATTGAGACGTATTATGAAGGGTTGCGCTGTATATATTCGCATATAAGACGAAATGGCTGGTGGGCTATTGCCAAACAACTTACGACCATTCATTTGATAGCACGCCGACTTCGGTTTGCCTTGCTTCCGATGGATTTCTGACAGGGACGAGTATTCCTTTGGAGTACTTGAAGTGAACTGGAGAATTGCGGACGGCTAACCAAGTGGTGCTGGCTTGAGAGTGGTTAACAGCGCATCGCAATTCTGCCGGGCCTTGCCAGGGGACCACCAAGTCCTGTGGTTCCTCGAGAAAAGCGACTGGAGGAGGCGTGGACAGGGCTTGTAATGTAGCTGAAGCAAACGGGACAAAGTACATGCTGACTGAACGGTACGGAACGTAGAAAGACAGCATGATCACCTAACAGCTCGTTCACACTGCATGACGGTTTGACGTCACCATAATTTTTCTGTATACAGAAAAGTAACCCATGTTTGAATGATATCTTTTTAGGGCGAAAAGACAAAGCAAACAAGCTCACCTCCACCACTCGACAGCGTTGTCTGAGAAACTGTCACTTACCAACTTCGAGCTATCTCAATTACAGAATCTCGCTCACAGTATCACCCAAAGTTAAAAATTGAACCTATTAACCTTCTAATTCAGCCGGAACTCTAAGACCACAATCGAAAAACGTAAAGCTGTCCATTCAATCAACGTAGTGATATTCACAGTCCTCCAACTCTGATGAGGTCATCCAAACTGATGCTGATTAGAGCTTTTTTTCCCTTTCAGACTTTGGCTAAACTTATGACAGACCCCGGTTAATTGAACTACCTTAGTGAAATTCCGACTGTCGTTAAGCGGAATGTAGTTGTGATTTGTAAAAGTCCTCAATTTTAAGCGTGACGAAGCATCGCCAGTTAATCAGGCACTTAAACTCTGGAAGATAAAGTTCATGCAGGTACAGCTGCAGGATTGGTATATTTTCTTACCTGTCCTCCAGATGTGTGATCTGATACATAAAGCATTTTTATATAAAGCAAGGCCAGTTAGAGTAAAGCGTGAACATCCGGGAGATGGTCATTGTTGAAGTTGGTTGCATCAAGGGGTAATGTCAACCAACTGCCTTTGTGCATGGGTTTTCATGTTAGTGGAAAATTTGCACTGTTCATTGACATATCAGGATATCATATTGAACAGATAATAACGATAATTGTTTGTTTGCGCAGATTCCGTGCAATCCAAACTGAGTACTAGGACTTGGATTCTGCCAAGCTGCCCAATTCAGGACAGAAACAAGCGAAAAGTCAGTGTCGAGTTTGAATCACAGACATTCCCTCCAGTGGTTGAGTTTCCCTGAGCTCAAAGGTATCAATCGCTTGATTTCCGCTATTTATGGATTTTGTACCTAAGCGGACTTCCCTCCGTCCTTCTCAACTTTTTTTTAAAAAATGACCTTGCTTCTCACTGAGGCAGTTGCAATAAGGCTATCAGTCACCCCTACGCCATCATCCCCTACAAAGCACGTTAGAAAACCGTCCCCTTAATCCTACTCTACCAAAGGAGGTGCAGGTAGGAATGCACACGTGGGGCTTTTGATGATTGGCTTAACAAAGTATGTGATAACAAAGACTGAGGTAGAGGCTTAGGACACTTGCCTTCCAACGGAGAGCTGTGAACCATCTGATTATTCTGACTATATCCAAAGGAAGAAGTCAGATCACTGCGTACTAGGTAGTAGCAAAAAATTCTGCTTCACGATAATAACCTACAGAAAAATAGGTGTGTAACTGAATCATACCCTTATTTGGCTATAGATTAATGCAGTTAACAGGTACTGCACTTTGAATACATAATTCATCAGATTGTAATCGGGAATAGTGCAAGCACTAATTCCATGGATCGCTCTACCACCTGCGACTAACCAATACTGTCCAACAGGTGTAAAGCTTCTAGGGAAATCCTTTCAAGCAAACGAGTATACCGACACAGTTACGACATGTACTCGGTGGACGTTCAAGGCCTTGGATGATCGACGATTACATCCCTCGAGCGTGAGCACGTCCGCCTGTTCAGATTTGGCACTTCAGGTGCTTCCAACTTGACCTGATGGAGTAATGGTGACACACGTCTGCAGTTCAAACCCCGTCATGGTTAAGTATACACACTGCTGATGAACCGTATTTGTATGGAGACTCGAGTGCATTGCTCCTTTGCTCTCGTGCGGACCAAGTGGAATAATTTTGCCGGGCCAGGAGAGGAGCTGTCCCGATGGGTGACGTTACCAGGAGACCAAACGAGTATTATTCATCCACATTGGGTTAATAGGAGACCTGAATGAGTTTCTCAAGATTGAGAAGTGCTGCTCTAGACACAAACTTAATCATAAGGTGGCTACCACTCAAGCAACCCCTACCGGTTCCGCTGTTTGTGGAGCTTACAAAGCAAACATAGCCCCTATTCCCCGTGAAACCCATTTCCCCACTTCAAAATGAAATAAGCAAAGCTAATTTGCTAACAATTCTGATGGTAAATTACGATTATCAACTGATTGTCAGTCAAACAATTTTCTTAGAGTGACTCCTCTCTTCTGCATGTGCATGGGCGAAAACGCCAACTAGCAAAGCGAAATGTTTTACCGATAACCCTTCCAGTTGAAGAGCCTGAACGTGCGATTTACCTGTTATTTATATTAGTAACCCATGAAAAACAAATTGGTATGTAGACGAGTTTATTTGTCGGTGATTATTCCAATTTGATATGAGAAATTCGGACTGAAAGTGTTTGTATGAGGTTTTCACCGTAATCACTGGAAAATATAAGGGTTGAGAAAATCTTCCTTCAAGAGGCCATTTTTTAAACGATGGGTGTTAATATTAGTGATACCAAAAGATGCAAGTGTGCTCGTCTCGTAAAAGGAAACCATACACCACTGGTACCTCGAAATCCTTGAAATTTTGCGCGAAAATAACCGTGCAATGAGTTAGAATATTGAGGGCTTGAGTGCGCTAATCGGTAGTTGATCAGCAGTCTGTTGGCTGAGCTTGGCAGTAGATTTGCAACCACCCTCCAACCGCTCAATGATGATATCCTCTCAAATGGGGAAAAAATGTGTGACTCATTTGCCAACTTCGGCGGACAGATAGAAACCCAAATCGCCTGAGCTAACACCAATAACCGAACAAGCACAAAGCCTAGGGGAGATTTTCCATCACTGTTGTTGTCAGCCCTCTTCTTTCATTTCCCTGCACTTTTACAGGGGCCAGTTTTTTAATGGTTTCACAGTGAATACCAGGTGCCGAAAATGCTGTTGTTTTGCTAACCGATGATTTCGAGGCAACAAAAAATCGACAAGTCT